TAACAAATATTTATTAACTTAATTTCATTTTTATTTTGGGTACTTTAATAAATTGCTTCTTCAATAGTTCAGGTCAACTCCCCTGTCTTAAAAGGTAACAATACATGGAAAATATTAATGAATTAAAAATGTTCAATTTTGTTTAAATGTGTGTCTGTGTGAACTCACTTTCATGAATTCTGGGGCATCCTGTGCATGACATCTAAACACAGGACAGCAGACTTCATATGACCTAAAACGTGAGGAATGAACATGAGGATCAGGTTTGTCCAGCATCAACCTTATGGTTGGGCCCATATTCTAGACTGTGACAAGGAACTGGTCATTTTGAAAGTGATATGGGCAGAAGTTTAAAATTGCTTACTAAATTGTATCGCAATTATTGACACACTCCCCAAGTCATGTTAACAGTCATGTTTGCCCTTTTTCAGGATACCAATGTGAGGGGACTGTTTGAGATGTGTTTCCTGATCCAGCCCAGCTGTGTGCCTCTCTCTCTGGGGTACCGAACCACCCATGTGCCAGGATGCCCTCAGGATGTAAACTCCCAGCTGCATTATCAACCAGCCAACTATTGCAGCTGCAGGCTACAACACTGCACCCCACTGTGTCAACACCAGATTTCTAATGACTCATGCACAGTGACCCTGTGTGAAGAGCCAGACCCAGTCCGCTGTGGGACCCTGACAATATACTTACCAAAGCAATGCACATGCAGGGCAAATTAAACAGCTTCACTGTTGTTGCTGTGGTTTGCATATCAGCTGTTCAGCTGCTCATTGTTTTCTCTATTAGACAATGAATTGGAACTAAACACTGTTGATCAGCACCTTAATGTTATTGGGATATTGTGTAAATGAAATAAACAAGTGCAGGGCCCATTAGGGATAAGTTATTGAGTTATTGAGTGTGTTATTGCTGTATGTGTTTAGAATGCTAACATGCATAATGAGTGCATATAACTTCCATTCATTTTTTTATTTAAAATGTGTAAGCCCTAAGTGTGATAAAGGAATTGGAAGAAGGTCAAAGTGCTGAGTGTCAATTTGCGTGTGTAAGCAACATATCTGTCCGCAGTTTCACAATTATGATCGGACTTAATGTGGGACTGTGTTTGACTGCCATCTAGTGGTAATATGAAATCACTGCAGAGAACATTGGAGAACAACTGACTGCTATATCTACCTCCTACTTTTGTTGATGGCTGCTTTTGGGCAAATTCAGAGTATGTTAAAATACATATTTCAGAATTCTGTGATTCTGGGAAAAAGTCTTGTCTTTGCATTGTGACTGTTTTCACGTTTTGATTTATGTTGCATTACATTTTTCATTTACATTTTATGTTACTATTAATGTAATGTTAATTTACTTTTATATAAAACACATACTTTTTTTCAGGTACTCTAAATCTTCCATTTATATCTCAATGGAAGATTTCTGGTCCAAAAATGACTTTGTATTCAACTGAATTGTTAAGCATCTTCTTTAGTCCATGGCGCGTAGTGTATTATTAATTTTAAAAGACAGTAGATTACAGACATAAATGCTCCCAGTCAGAGCCATATGTGCCATATGCCATATCTCCCAGTTAATGAGGGAAAACGGCTCTGTTTCCCAGCATGCCACTGGGGTTCATTCTACTCTTCAACAGCGAAACTTAAACTACAAACAGCTTGAAACGAAAACATTTACACCATTCAAGTTTGGCTTTTATGTTGCGGACGGCCTCGCTGGTATAAAAAAATACGCCTTGTTGATTCGGTATATTTTGCACCACAACGAAGTTTGTGTTCAAATTTAACACAGTATTAAAACAACGTGTCCACCATGTTACTTCCGTGGTTGGAAGCTCATTGTAGAGGTCACATGCTGAGTGCTCGTCACTCCACCAATCACCTCGGGGAAGGTCTGAGACAAGAGCCAATAGTTACCCTAGCAGGGTATCACCTGATGCGGGTGAGCGAGCGAACAGAAAATATGGGTCAACGTGAGCAGTTGTAGCAGGAGAAACCGTGTGGCGCAGTTTCAGCGCCTCACGGTGGATGTGACGCTCACTGACTTGGAATCGCTCGTGGCTAGCAAATGAGTGCGATGTATGAGGTGGAGCACAGCTCCAGAACCCAATTCAGACTACTCTCCTCCCACTTTTTCATTGTTAAACTTGTTTAGATTTCTTTTTTAATTACATAGATGCTATATCTAGCTTCTTTTTTTTTAACAATCTTTTTAATATTCTCCCATTATAATTACATACAACCAAACAAATAAAAAACATCAACAAAATAAAAAAAGGCAAAGAGTGTTTTCTATGTTAAGAGAAAACATATCTGCACTTTAATATGTATAGCTTATCAAATAATAATAATGCACGATTACTGATTTTGCTGGACCAGGTAATTCAGGTAAATGTAATGGTTGGTTTTACTTTGTGTTAGTCTGTGACCTCTTGACCTGGGGGCATGGCCAGGGCATGGCTAATATCAAACAAAAAGGTTTCATGTTTCTGTCTGACCCAGCTCAAGGGTCTTATCGGTGCGTGTAGAGTTACCCGGACAGTATGATCAGAAACAGAGAGACTCACACCGTAAACCTCAAACAGCATCTGCAGACATCGTGATGATAAGGGCGACAAGGGAAGGGTTGAGCAGAAGGGCAACTAAATGGCCTGTCCTGTTAGAATGCCAATTCCTACGTTTATAATAAAGCTTTCCACATATTTGTTTGGAAATTTGACAACAAACCTGCCTGAGAACATTCATTCTTGCATGCAAAGTTTTAGACCTTTATTTTTCAAAGCAACGGGTGCAAACAATAAATATATCTTGCAATGTGATCCCAATAGCCTCAACTCCAAATCCGGAAAGGGTCCCTTCAACACTTCTTCCCACCTACACCCAGTGCCCTTGCTGATTGTGATTTTAAAGTTGTACACATAGTTACCAGAACAAACGTTATTTTCCCCTTGTGAGTCTGTTTGTGTGTCATTAAAGTATGTTCCTTGAAACACTTACTAATACTATTACACAAACTACCACAGAAAGCATTTTTGAGTACTTTGCCAGGTGTGTGTATATATCTGTCTGCCTGTGTGAACACATTTTGCGCAGCTTTAGCATAAGAACGATTCAAGATTCAAGATAAAGTCCCATAATTAATGTACGTGGTCCAAGCCATGTCTCCTGAAGTAGGGTGATACATTCGCAAAATGGTCTCTACTTCATCTTAAAAGGTACAAATAGTTTCAACATGTGTCTTTTACTATGAATGTATATGACGTGTCATTGTGTTAAGTCCTGTATCTCCGCTTTCCTCCTGCAAAAAAAATAAAGCAATTGTTCATTGTTTCAAGGCACAGTTACCATCTTATAATCTAAAACAATACCTGCTTTTGACCCAATCATGCCCCTAGTAGTACACAGTGCACAGTGGTTTTAAGCATGCCACTACTTTTTTGAGCTATTGAAGTTTTTTTGTTTCGAGACCTTACATAAAATATAATCCGACCATCTGTATAAAGCTGGATCTGTGTCAGGGCAGATAGTTGCTGAACTGTCAACAACCCACTTTGTTGCAATTATCTGATGGAGTTGTGACATGTGATCCAACATGATTATCATTAAGCAGAATGGCAGAAACAGTAGCCAGGTCAGCAGCATAGTGGGAAAACCACAATACGGTAATATTGTATATTTTTATTAATTGAACTGTCCCTGCATTTGTCCGTATTTCAGTGTAGATTTACATCCATTTTCTGGAATAATTCTGATTATTTTTGTTTACCATGATTGTTAACTTTAGATATATAGATGGTTGAAGAGAACAGGATCAAGACCTGTGTTTTTAATTGAATAGTGGAAACAAGCCTGTGTTTGCATTGAGGATCATGAAGTGTGCTTTGGACATGATGATGGCATGATTAGGATCAATTGTGTTTGGTAAACATGTTTATTGACTACTTTGTGCAGGGAAAATATGATGGCACATGGCCACTCACATTAGTAACAGATGGGAATAATGGAAGCATTAATGGCTTAGAAAAGGAGGGCATAACCTTTTCACTCAGTTAGAGACAGAAACATGAGAGAGTTGACCCAGCATCAGCCAAATGAGATCACTTAAAAAATGTTTTTAAATATAGTATAGTTAGAAATTAAGAAATATTTAACTTTATTTCTTTCACATTTAATAACTGATTAATGCCCTTAATATTGATTTGGGAATTGATTATTTGATAAACTCATAATTAAAGTGGACAAATAGTCATTCATGCTATGAAATAGGTTAAATGTGGTTTCACAGTCTGCATTTACAAATTTGCAAACACTAGTTTATCTTCAGGGTTTCACTTTCGAAAAGGGACTTACTTTCAGGAATCTTGCAAATTAAATCAAAACACAGGGAAAGAAGGTGGACTTCACATGGTCTAAAACGTGAGGAATCAACCACGTGAATCGGGTTTGACCAGCCCCCTACCCAATGGTTGAGCCCATATTCTTCAGTATCACCTGTGAAAAGGAACACTATACACACACACAAAAACACACACACTAAACACACCCACATTCATGTGATTTCTGGAATGATGTTTTAGACTTCTAGTGTACTGGGGCAGTCGAGGTGGATTAAGGCGTCCATAAAAGAGGACGGACAACAATCGTCTTTTCAGAATTTCATAAAGGAGAGGAACATGGTGGAGTTGGGGAACTGAGTGGACTGAACAAGAGGAAGAATCCAGAACTATCATCCACTTATTTGATTAAGACAACACAGATTTATTGGAAATCTAAAACCATTTCCTCTAAAGTCAAATCCTTCAGGCTTAAATTCATATTGTTTTTATTGGATATCTCTTAATTCCGAGAGGTCACATGTCAAGGTGTGTTTTTTCTCTTCAATCTAAGTTTGCATGAACCTAACATGTTGATATTGTTGCAATGAAATTCTCCTGAGTGTATATATTGTTTTTGTAATAATGATTTTCAAAATGTCTCATTTTCAGAATGCTGTCGTTAGTGTTGAAATGCATGCTGCTGTGTGCGTTAATGCATGGAACAGTGTTTTCCTGTATGCTGAAGAATCACACCATATGGATTGAGAGGCAAGACTGCGGCCAGTGTGTGGCAATCAACACAACCATATGCAGCGGCTACTGTCACACACAGGTGACTATACACTCTCCACTGTCCATAGAAAGCTTAGCTGAACATTTTGATGCATGAATCCAAACAAGGAAGCATGCTGTTGGCGTGGTTATGCCCATTAAAAGAATAGGCCTACTTGATGCAACATACTGCAATGCTATACCTTGATTCGTCATCTTAAATTGTCCAAACAAAGGAAGTTGGAAGTCCACATGGTGGCTGAAGTAAACTCCTAAGATCACATCTGTGATTAAGTGATTGTCTCCACACGGCTAACAACATGGTGACGGCTAAAAGCTAACAGTGCAAACAACAGCAACAGTGTTTAAAGAGTAAAGAGTTTTAAACAGAGGGGTTTTATTTGTTTCAGGAACAATTACTGTAAGAAAACAGAGCATAGGCCATTAGCTAGTCAGTTGGACATACGCACACAGAGATTCAAATTCAAACGCTGCAGTACCGGGTGGATAAAAAAGCACAGAGAAGCTTATATTTCAACAAACACAGCAGAACATGTAATGTTTTCCTGAACAGTGTGACTTTATCATCTGCTCAGGACAACATTACACCACTATGTTTAATATAGAGAACATTGTTTTCTGCTTTTAATGCTCTGAATTTGGAATGTAGCACCTTTAAACCACCCAAAGTAAAAAACATATTAAGTAGCTACAATGGCCAACTTCCGAATAAAGAAAATTGGCAAAGTAACTAAGTGCGAAAATAGAGGAGTAATAAGTACAATATTTAAGTGTCAAATATAGTGCTATAGTATAGCAAAGAGTACATTGACATAACATTTAATTGTAGGTTACTTTAAGTACATTATACTTGAGTAAAATAGCCTATTAGTTTCATTCTAATCTAAGTGCAACATGTGGATCCAAATGAAAATCTTGGTTTGTTTTACATATACTTTGTGAAACTGATTATGGGTAGAAGTGCTGTAACACAATTCACACGCCCCAATCTCATGTTAACAGTGCTGTTTCCCCTTTGTCAGGACACCAATTTGAAAGGAAGGTTCGGAAGGATGTTCCTGATCCAGCGCAGCTGTGTGCCTCTCTCTCTGGTGTACCGAGCCGTCCATGTTCCGGGCTGCCCTCAGGATGTAAACTCACAGCTGTATTATCCTGCGGCGCAGCGCTGCAGCTGCAGGCGCTGCAACACGCGCTCGCACCACTGTGTCCGCACCAGCCGGGTCTCTAAAGACCGATGCACCGTGACCCTGGGCGGTGTGAAGAACCAAACCCAGCCCGCTGTGAAAAACTGACAATATGCCTATAGATGCAATGCACATGCATGCTAAATGGACGCCGATGGACGACTGTTTATTTGCTCTTCAGCTGTTTATGGTTTCGGCAATATGTTGCACAATGTAGGCCTACTGTTTAAAATGCATTTAATTTAACTGTGAAAAGTGTGTAAATTAATAAAGATTATAAATAATATATGGAAAAAAGTCAATTATACATTTATTTACATAAAGTGTCATCTGTAAAGCTTAGGAGGAGAATTATTTGGTTAGTTTGGGATTCTGAGGTTTGAGAGCCCATGCAGAATTAGTTACATGTGTCTGAGCAACCTGTGAGAAATGTTTGGGAAAAGTTACATCATGCTCACCTGTGCAAATTCTGAGGCAAGTTGGCCCATCCTTCTTTGCAAATCCCCTCTTGTCACTGGATAACTCAGGTCTGTGACGCCCCTGGAAGGTTAACGCGCTTCCTCAATTTGATATTCATTCATACAGACCTGAAGCCTGCTGGAGTGAGAGGCCACTTAAACTTCGCTAAAGCAGGACATTAGCTTTCATCTAAGGTGGGTCGAGCATGCTTTTAACGAGACATACCGTAACCATAATGTTTCGTTCGAAATATACGTTTACATCTTTTAACTAGCCAGTCATCATTGTCAATAAACTGTAGTCCAGAGGTAGCTCATAGCAGGGCAGGGCTGCACTTCAAAATGTGCAACTTTTAGTTCGGTGCAGAGCAGACGCAGCAAACTTTCTTCTGTGAGTAGCCTACTTGCCTAATGTTTTTATTAGCTTTTAGCTTAAAACTACAATTGTATTAGATCCAATCAATCTATTTAAACGTGGTTGCAGTAACAGGTAGTATCATTCAATATACAGTAAAACTATAGTCTTTAGTATTTTTGTAAAAAAACGTGTAGGCCTACCATTATTTACCCCAATACAACAAAATCACAGAAACCAGGCCTGGTACCAAAGTAGGCACTTATTTAAGAAAAGCACTAAAGTTTCTTTTTAAAGATGTTTTTTCTGGTCTGGATGTGTTTTTGATTCATTGTGATTATAAATCACAATAGATGTGTATACTAAAAACAATCAGGATTTGTATGGCAACACTTTTTGCACAACCATTGGTGTGGCATAGTTGTCTGACACTAATCCATTTGACTATTACCCAATCAGTGTGTTTGGATCGAAGATCTTTGGGCAACTGGAAATAATTTCTAAACATGTTAGGCAGGTGTGTCCGTGGAAGAAAATGAGCTTGTGATTTTGTTTGGGTGATGACTGACCTTGGCTCCATTTCTTGGCTGGCGGTGCAGTGGGTGGAGAGTAATGTTGAATTTATCCCTGGATCTGCAGGGCTGGACTTCCTCTATATATATATAACCCTGAGCTTCCTTACACTCCCGCCTTGCTCAGTGTCTCTCAGGGACTCTCTGCCTGCTCTCCCTCTGCGGCCTCCTCCTTTGTGCTGACCAGCCTCTGCACTCACAACAACCAAGAACCATGGCCCAGCAACAGCAGATTAGGTATGAACCTGCTCTGTCCATCGGGACAATACATCAAATCCAGCATGACACCATATGTAGCCTGCTCAAAGTGCAATATAGAAATAAAGCTTGCTGATTATTTAACTCTGTTAAAGTCTTGTAAATTGTTATAGTTAGCCTTCTGTTTCTCCAAGGCTAACGTGGCAAATCAATGAAGCCTTAGGATTCGACTGCCTCTGGACATATGTGTATGTTTTATTTACTCTGTCGTGAAGTTATTTTTGGAAGCGCATATTCCCAGAGGCAGTCACATTATACTCAGTTCAGTTGCAATGCTAAGGCCTCACATACAGTATACAGACACCCTTTAAAGTTAAAAATGATTTTCCAATGGAGAGAAAGTCAGTATGTGCTTTATCAGACCACTAATTGTATTGCTTTAGTTCAGTTTCAGTAGGTTTTACTCTCTGACATTGCCACACCTTTTAGTCGACTTTGAGGACTAAAATGAATGATTGTAATGCACATGTCTGTTTTGACTTGTACTTAAACAGCCTCCCAGCCAAACTCATCAATGGAGGGATTGCAGGCATGGTGGGAGTCACCTGTGTGTTTCCAATTGACCTGGCCAAGACCCGCCTGCAGAACCAGCGCAGCGGGCAACAACTCTACAAAAATATGTAAGAAACCCCCCCCCCCCCCCCCCCCCCCCCGCCAATGTTCATGTCAAGTTTTCATTTCCAATACCAGTTTGTTTTGTTTTATACTCTGTTATGTTATACATAAACATGAAGTGTTTCCTGTATACAATGTGCATAACTATCAATTCCTGTTTTTTGTTCAGGATGGATTGCCTTATAAAGACAGTTAAATCTGAAGGATACTTTGGCATGTACAGAGGTAAGACTAATCATATTGTTCATAACATGCCGTTTTCTATGTCTGAGTAGACTCTTTAATTGGATTATTACCAAGTATATCAAATATAACTTTTTGGGGGGTTCTGTGATAGATTTCAATTGGCAATGTGTCCTCAACAGGAATCTAATCTGTTTACCAAAAAAGAACGCTTTTCTTATGCTAAGTTTCGTGAATCATTTTCATCCCATCATGTTACTGCTTGTCAATAGGTTACTGGTTCATCTTGTAAGGCAGGCAGTGACCACATTAGCAGATCCTATGCCATGAATGAACCATAGCTACTTTATCCTATTGATATCTGTGATGTGGAATAATTCATTTGACAGACTTCTTTCTGTATTCTAATGTTTCATCTAAATTACGTTTGTGGGCCTCTCTTGTTGCAGGTGCTGCAGTAAATCTCACCCTGGTAACCCCTGAGAAGGCCATCAAGCTAGCTGCTAATGACTTCTTCCGCCAACAGTTGAGCAAAGATGGGTGAGTAGTAGCGCTAAATAAAGCTGACTTCTGTACTGCGATTTTATTCTTGGTTTTAACAACATCCATGTCTCATGTCTTCATCAGCAGGTTGACGGTGTTCAAGGAAATGTTGGCAGGATGCTGTGCAGGAATGTGTCAGGTCATTATCACCACACCCATGGAGATGCTCAAGATCCAGTTGCAGGATGCTGGAAGGCTAGGTAACTTTAAAGGAAATCAGCAGAAAAAAGGATCGAATAATGCTTTTGTGATGTTCTAAAAATAACAATTACAATATGCATTTCTCCTGTACCTGCCAGCGGCCCAGCAGAGGGGGGTGACTAGTGTCGTATCGGCTCTGAAAATGGGTGGGACCAGTGGTGTTCTTAGCCGTTCCTACAACACCAGCCCTGCACCTCAAATCATGCGAGTGTCCGCCACACAGATCACCAGAGAGCTGCTGAGGACCAAAGGAGTCAAAGGACTGTACCGGGGACTCGGAGCAACATTGATGAGGTGAGAACGAATCTCGTGCTTGATTTTGTTCAACTGGTTTTACATGGTTTGACAGCTTTTATATTGAGGTGGTGAACATGCATGTTTTATTGCATTTTCAGGGACATCCCATTCTCCGTCGTGTACTTCCCTCTTTTTGCACATCTGCACCATCTCGGCCGGCATTCCCCTGAAGACCCTGCTGTGCCCTTCTATTGGTCCTTCATGTCTGGATGCCTAGCTGGATGCATTGCTGCTGTCACTGTCAGCCCTTTTGACGGTGAGTGACTCAGTCTATGCAGATATCTGGTTACCAGACTATTTTTAATTCTTATGTTTTTTTTAAAGAAATGTTTAACTTATTTTAAAAGCTTTCTTTCACTTGTGCAGTGGTCAAGACCAGGCTGCAGTCACTCAAGAAAGGAGCTAATGAGGAAACCTACAATGGCGTGGTAGACTGTATCAGGTAAATGCCTTTCCTTCTCCAGGGTTCACATGAACGGAAAAGGTTGAATTTGTATTCAACCTGCACTCTCTCTCCCATTGCAGAAAGATCCTGAGAAAGGAGGGTCTCGGAGCGTTCCTGAAAGGGGCAAGTTGCCGGGCCCTTGTTATTGCCCCACTCTTTGGAATTGCACAGGTTGTGTACGTTGTCGGAGTTGGAGAGTACCTGCTAGGGTGCACACCCTAAACCATCTACTCTGCATAAACAAGCTGTTTTCTAGTCTTCTTTATGCCACCTCATTAAATTACAGGCAGCTATGCCCTGGCATAGCAATGGACCCAGCTCTCTGTTACTGTGTACCTTCTTTATTGTTGGAGGCTGTTAAAAGTTAAATGGACCTGAGAAATGCCCTTTAAATCCAAACTGGTTTAAAAGTATGCCTTTAGCTTGCCTGCTTGTATGGCCTTCAGTGGAGCTTATTGCAAAAACAGAATAGCTTTCTTCACTAACAATCTTGACGGCCCAAGATTGACCACCTATTCAATCAGATCAGAGTTGACTCCAGTCTTTTACCCTTAACTGAAACACTTACTCGGCTATTCCCTTCAACTGTCTTGTCTTAAAGACACGGTGTGATGGCTGTAGCACGGTGTTGCAAAAGAGACCTTACAATGCAAGGGAGCCAATACTAAGTAATGACAAAGGCAGAATATTGAAACGTCACTTGAATAGTTTCAATCCTGTTTTAAAGGGTTTCATGTGCAACTGGGCCATGGATGGAGCACCCTGTATATGAATATAGTGGTAAATGACTTGTATTGTCTGGTGGACTGTCCACCAGTATGCCACACAGAATCCTGCGTAATATTACTTTCTGTTACATTGAAAGAGAGATTGGTTGAGGTCTTTGGGTTCTTTACAGAGCGCTGTTGGCAATCTCTCTGTGGATGTCAACACAACAACCCGTTGTCTGTTACTGGTCAGGTTTTGGTGTCAGAGATACAGGAGCCCACACGACTGAGTTATGGTTGTCATTCAGAAGCAGAACAGAGTCGAGCTAGTAAAAGTCCTGGGTCGAAGTACTTTTAACAGTTTGTACCATTGTAAATAGCTATCCTGTTTATTTTTTTCTTGAACTGTGAAAAGCTAAACTCGAATTGAGAGCAGTTCTAACTTTTCAACATGTTGAAAGTGTTTCAACCAGTTGAAGATAATTTTTTTTTTTTTTTACTTTAAAATGTCATGTAAATACAGATTTCTAAATGCTGAATAAATATGTATGAATTCAGTGTTTACATTTGTTATTTGTTTTAATGTGCGTAGTCTGAAGTATTGCATATTTAATCACGTATTCTCAGGTAGGGCTGTTGGAAGTAGCAACAGGTTGTAATACTTGTTCTGATACAAACTTAGAAGATGTTACCATGCGCTACACATAAGCATTACTGCGAGGGATACGTTTGTGGCAGTAAAAATGCTCGTGCTGCAGTGTTGGGGTAACTCTACCCTGGGGAGTCCTGGAGCCTCTGCTGCATCACACACATTTCCAGCTGTCCCTGATGCTCAAGAGCAGAAAGGTGAAACTGACACCAAACTCAGGCGACTAATCCTGGAAACATATTTAATAACACTGGATATCAAATACAATTATCTGGTAAGGAATACAAAATCATTTTACGAAGTGATACGTTGTAAAAAAACTATTATTTCAATTGGCTACATGTGCTATTTATCCTCACAAATGCATTGAGGACATACTTAAATATAACTCTTTTGTAGATCTCTCAGTAATGTCTTTCTTTGAAATCACATGATTTGTTCTAAATGCAGACCTACAGCAACATTTAAAAACTACAAATAAAGCATATACTTTGTTTGCTGAGGAGATACAGTTCTAGTCTATGTTTTATTACAAATAATTGAAAGTGAAGGTTACATTTCAGGACTTAAAAGTGTGTGGACCTGATGGAATATTTTGAGGCCAGGACACATGCAGCTCATGGAGTATGTGACTGATGCTGTGTGTGTAATGGTGTCTGAGGCTATGATTTCATGTATTAGAGATTTATTTGATGCAAAGAGGTGTAACAAGTTATTAAATATAGGAAATCCAATGCAAAGCTACTTATCTGAGCTATACATGCGTTTTAATAAACACAAAATGTACACCAAGTATAAATGACACACAAGAAACAATGTTCAACTTTAAAAGCTTTATTACACTTTGTAAACCTATCTTCCTGAGAAGCCTGCAATGGTATTAAAATAAATTAACACACAATCATCTAAAATAAGGCTTGGCTGCTTGTACTTTTGTTTCCCGTTATACCTTCAGATTTGCTCCAACAAATACAACTGAGGAACACAGCAACAGCTTTGTGGATTGAGTTGCACTAAACTGTTCCCTTTTTTAACTCCAGAGCCTCTATAGTGAAAAGAGATTCAGTTGTGTGTCTTCACTCAGAGTGAACACCGCCTACTGGAGTGGTAACAAAGCCTTTGGCGTCTCATCTCCCGTGTCACATTACACTCGAATGTAAACAAATGACCAGGGCTTGTGTTCCACACAGCTTGATCAGAGGCTTTTGAAATAGTTGGCAGATAAATTGTTGCTTTTACCACTTCAGCTCTCTTGGCTTGAAAGACACTGTTGAGTGTGACACTTTAAGACAGACCACAACAATAATGGCAAGTCTAATGTGTGTGACAATGAATTGCAGTCGAACTCTACAAACATATGTACACTTTGCTAAGATTTTTTGCTACGTTCAGTCATCACGTAGTTCTAAAATAGCTCATCTTCAAAGAAAGGCACGTTAAGAAGCTTCAGTTTGACTAATGCAAACATTGTCATGACTACATAAACACTTTACAACTACAGCAAGCCTCTGTCTACGCACAGCATGTTAAATAGTAGGCCTACTGTATCTATCACATCAACCACAAATAATGTACAACTACAAGAAAACTCATATTTACATACCAGAGTCCAAATATAAACCCTACAGAATCAACAGCAGCCCGATGAACCTGGATAAATGGAAGTGATTCCAGGTTGGGCATGTCTGTCCAACTATCATATCTGCTGAGGTTGATGAGATTAGAGGAAAACAGAGGTTATTGCTCTGTTTTATGTTGTTGTGGGCGGTGCACTTTTAGGCACAGGGGGAAAAAAGATGGAGGTGTGAAGAGATCAAAGACCTGGTTTGGATAATCAAATTTCTTAGGCCCAACTGCTTGTTCTCAGTTGACCGACTAGAATATATTTAGCCTGTAAACATTTCCAAATGATCCTCCTGACATACAGTAAACAGAGACTCAGATATACTCTCTTATGTAAGAGAGCATATATATATATATATATACACAAGGGGCTTTTCCTTTTGGTTTTTAGTCTGTATGTACTTTTCCTAATGCTGCAGGCATTAATTTATGTCTTTTACAGACTTTTGAAACTTGCTTGTGGTATGCGCCACATATTGGCATTATTAAAAATATATAAAGTATGCATGAGTTGTTGTAAAAGACCTGAATGTGGGTAGGCCTATAGTTGCCTAAAATAATAGATTATTTCTTTCAAAGATTAGGATGAGAAGATTAATACCACTCATATGTCTGTAAAGTAAATATTAAGCTACAGCCTGTTAGTGTCCCTTAGTTTAGTTTAGCTTAGCATAAAGACAAAGCCAAGCTAGCTATTCCCTCCTTTTTCCGTTATTTGTGCTAATCTAACCAACTCCGGGCTGCAGCTTGAGATTCACTAACATTGTCATTGTGCTATCAATCAGCTAATCAAACTCATAGCAAGAAAGTGAATAAGCATATTTTGAACTATCCCTGTAATATAACTGCTGTATTTCTTGTAGAAACAATTGGTTTCATACAGTATACAGATACTGTGTGTGTGGGAGAGAAAGAGCACTTGGGCTGCATGATGGATGCTTTCCCAAAACATTCACTGGCCATCCCTCTCTTGGCACCACGCTCTGATTCCACCAATCAGGATTTTCATACCTACGAGATTCCAGACAACCTTCTTCGAGGCTGTGGTCTCACGTAACACAACATTGCTGTGCTTGTGTGTCTTTGCGGCTTCATGTTTGTGTTTCAGCTGCTTTCACCTCAGATTCTCCGCTCTCCCTGGGCTACAGTTTCCCACAGCCAAGGGGTCAGTGTCAAGGCTGTGTGAAAAAGCATTGACACTGCTATGACAGTATGTGGGTTTAACATTTGTAACGGCCATGAGGAAAAACAATTTGACAGATTGTCAGGTCATAAAATCATACTGTTCCCACAGGATATGTGGACTAAATCTTATCTGAATGTGTTGAAAGGAAGCACATGCTACTTTGCTTGTGACTGCAAATACAAAAAGAAAGAGAGCTGGTTTAAGCATCATAGTGGAAAGGATTTTTTTAACATAATCTAATTACTGCCTGGGTCCCTGGATTGACAGAGGTTGTCATTTGATCTGAAGGCTGTACAGTCTTTTGGGGCAGGGAGGGCAGAGGTCATATTTAGATGACCTCCCTGCTGTTGCGGATGGCACAACAGAGCACCATACTGAAGATCATCCCAATAATCTGTTAAAAGGAAACAGAATTTTAATAAAATCATTCTCTCCCACAATGTGTATGTCTGTGTGTGTGCTTCTTCTCAGATCATGACTCACCATGACTCCAGCGATGCCGATGCCCACATATCCAATGATGTAGAGTTTAGTGTTGAAAAACTCCTCAATGCCTGTGTCACAGCCCTGCACACCGAAGATAGAGTCAAGTTATTGAACCAGATTGATTATTGCGGCACCGTGTCTCATTCATTAGACAACAAAGCGAGATAATGACATTTCCATCTTGCGTCTGGTGGTACTTACTTTAGTGTCTTTTGGAGGATCAGGGCAAGGGTATTCTGTGGTTCCACAACAGTTCAGCTAAAATTGCGAAGAAAATCAAAATATGATGGGTTTAGGCATAAGCAAATATCTTTAAACATCTTTAATTATGCACTTTTTCTACTTGTTGTCACCCTAGAATTAGATTTTCTACTTACCACTTTCTGGTATGAGATGATCAATGTGCCGTTATTGTTTTCATTGTAGTTGGTTGTGTAGTAGGTCTGAACATCTTTGATTATCTGTGTCAGAGAGGACAAGTAAATAAACCATTAGGATTCATCAAACTCCAGGCATGACTCAAGCTCTGAAATGTGAAATGCTTCATACCTTGTCTTTGTTCAGGAATCCAAACACGCCTGCTGCCAACTCAGCGCAGAAGATGATCAACAGACAGGCAAAGAACTAAACAAAAGCATTAAAAACAGAAAAGATATTGATTA